AAACATTTGAGTTGTAAGTTTTTTACCACTACTGTTATCAAAATAACCCTTTTGGCTTAGATACTAAACATGCGAAAGAGTTCATTAAGAAGAAAAACTTGACCCAAAGCACAAACTAACTATATACTCTTTACTTCTCGATATTTCACATATAAGTTTTTGTTGATAACAGTACTAATAAGAAATCTTAGGTATCTTTGGACTTTTTAGAATCTTGAATCTTCAAACTGTTTTGGTGCAGTCTTGGTTTAAGTGATTATCAGAAAGAGTGTCTTTTTAGATTTGTAGATTATAGATAATTGTTTAAACTTCTGTAGTTTATTTTATAGTATATAAATTAATATATAATACTAAGGTATAGTGATTTAGTAAAGTTGGCAAGTTGTCATATCCCTAAGCAGCAGGACTAGAGTTCAAATTCTACTAATGACAAAAATTCAAATTTATGGAAAATGTATTTGGAAGACTATATCCTATTGAGTTATAGAACTTATAATAAGGGCCACACCAGCTTGTATTGAGAGACAGTGTTTAAAATTCAAAAAAAAATTTACATGTACAAATGTATTTTGTGTATCTTTTTTTAAAAATTTTATATACATACTTAATAGATTTTTAAAAAATTTAAAAAAATCAAAAAAAATTTATGCATATATGTATCTTGTATATGCCAATTTTAAACACTGCTGGGAGGTAATAAAATATGTAGTATGATGTACAAATTATACAAAACCTGAGTGAAGTTACTGAATAAATCTAGTGAATTTATAGGATATGGAAGTCTGCTTGATAAAATCTGAGTGAAGAGATAACACAGATCTTTGATAATTACTATATAAAGAATGATCAACCGAATACCAGAAAACTGGACAAGACTGAGGTGTTTGGCAAGTCACTATACCAACCAGATTGACAAACAACCAGATAAAGAGTTCTGCTCTTTCAGACCATTGAATTGAGTATTTAGGTTTCTAGAGATATAGAAGGAAATCTGTAAAGTAGATATCAGAGTTTGGGTGAACTTTATAAGAGCAGTGGTAGATAACTATAGCAGCCTTGGCTTGCAAGTACTTGTTTTTAAACTCAGCATAAGTTATTGAAAAAGGTTAGTCTGGAAATATATATGATATAAAAGATTAAGAAGTATATACTACACTCTCTCTAGAGCAACCTAGTAGTATAAGAACCCTACTAGGTTATTTATAGAATTAGAACCAAGTAGTATAATACATATTGATTTGAGTAGTCTTCAATAAAGCAGTATAAGGTTATAGGCTGGCATAATTGAGGTGGTAGTGCAGAATAGAGAACATCAGAAAGTTTAAATAGATAACTCAAATAATAGTGAATTAATAGATATGATATCTAGTATAGACTCTAATAATAGGTAATTATTTAATTAGCTGCTCAAAGGTACAAGTATGATTAGAATATACTCTCATTAACCAAGAATGTACTACTAAATATATCTAATAAAAATTAGTTTTTCCGTGACATTGCGAAGATAAAAAAAAAATAATAATAATACTAGCAATATACAGTCGACTCTCTCTAAATGCATTGCATTGAGACCAGACTTTTAGCAATATGTATTAAGAGAACAATTAAGAAAAATGCATTTATAGGAATCAAAAATATATGTAAACTCCAAATTTAAACCTGCATTTATAGAGAACATGTATTTAGAGAATATGCATTTAAAAAGAATTGACTGTAGTTGTAATTAATAAGTATTAATAATAAAACTAAAGGCATGATCTTATTTTGAATATCAAAAAAAAATTAATCTAAAAAGAGCAGAAAAAAAATTATAATCAGAAAGAAAAAAACTTAAATTAATTAATTAAGACCTAGAAACAGAAAAATCAAGAAAAAAAAAGAATTTAGAGCTGCAAAGTAAGAAGAAACCTATATATAAAAAAGATTTATAAAGCTAGATTAACTATTAGTAAAAACAAAAATAAATTAAAGAAAAAAAGAAGTTTAAAGATATTTAGAAAAAATTTAGCTATAAAAGTATTATAGTAGATAAAGCTAAATTAAATAATAAGATAAAATTAAGATTAAATTATTTTTGTAAAAAAGTAGATAAATTACAAAAAAAAAATATTTATTTTGTTATAGTTAAAAATTTTATAAAAATGAAGCTATTTTATTATAACTTTACTAATTAGCTTAGTGTAGCTTTTCAATATAAACAAAAGCTTTAACTGATAAGACAGACTATATCCAAATATCTACTAAGATAATTAGATAATATCAAATCTATAGTTTAAATATATTTTGTTATACAAACATCCCTTCATACAATCACCTTTTATATAATCACAAATTCTATACAATCATACAAGTTCATCTGGCTGTCTATTTTATATTAAAAATACCTTTATATAATCACAATCGCATTATAATCACAATCACATTTTCTTAAAAATTTTTATACTATTAATAAAAATACCTCTCTACAATCATATAAAAATTATATGCATAATTAAATTACATAATTATAATTTTATTGGTCAGGAATATATAACTATAATTGGTCAAATAAATTTCTATAAATTCACAAAAAAAAAATTTGTATGGATGTATATATATAGAAGTTCTTACAACGATCAATCTTTTCTGCATTTAATTTTTACTTTGAACCAAATTTTGCAAATTTAAAATTTTGCAAGTTAGTTTTTTTTTTATAATTTATAGTCAAGTTTTATTGTACTTAAATTATTATATCAAGATTTTTATGGCTAAAGTTTTATTGCAAAAAAATTTTTGCGCACAAATTTTTGCAGCAACTTAAACATTTTTGCGGTCAAGGTTAGAGATTTGCAGTATCCAAAGTCAGGGTTTTGCTATGATCAAGATCAAGGTTTTGCTGTAATCAAGGTTTCGCCATGGTCAAGATTTCATTATAATCAAAGTTTCACTATGATCAAAGTTTCATGATAATCAAAGTTTCACCATAGTTAAGATTAAAGTTTCACTGTAATCAAGATCAAAATTTCTCTGTGATCAAGGTCAGGATTTTGGCATAGTTAGAGCCAGGGTTTCACTGTGGTCAGAGTTAGGATTTCACCATAGTTAGGATCAAAGTTTTACTATAATCAAGCTTCGTCTTGGTTAAGATTTAATTGTGATCAATATTTTGTGCAAAGAAACTTTTTTTTATTTTAATTATATAAAATTTTTAAGGAGTAATATTAAACAAAAGAACAAAAATAGCAGTCAGTAATAGTTTAAAATGTGAAATTTGCAAATATAGTGATAAGTTTTCAAATAAAACTCATTTAATATTGCAAAACATTTTAATTAAACAAGAATCTTGATCACTTAACAATTTCAAAAATTTTAAAAGAAAAAAAATGGTTAGCAATTGATAGTAACAATGCATATATAACAATTTTTCATTATAAAAAGGTTAAGTTCTCATTACTAGATAAGGCATGGTGAAGCCAATAGTGTGCTGATAGAAATACTTCCAGAAGAAAGAATAAAACTTTGTGAACTAATAAAAAAATATTTGCTAAAAAATGTTTTTAACGCTGATGAGGCAGAGTTATACTTTTGCATAGCATTACACCAGACACTCTTATCACAACCACAACTAGGATGAAAAGTTTTTTTTTATATACAAGTTTAATTAGAAATAATAAATAAAAAGTTTATTGTATACTATTTTCAAAAAAAAACATAAAATAAAATAAAAATTTCAATTATTGAATTACTTATAGGATCATGCACATATTACTGTAATGTTGACAACAAATGCGACTGGAACTAAAAAGTTAAAGCCAATAGTCATTGGATCATTTATCCAATCTTATACTTTAGCTTGCTTGAACTATGATACTTTATTTGTTATATACCAGTCAAATATAAAAGCCTGGATGTGATCTGATATTTTTTGTGAATAGCTTATCAAGCTTAACAAAAAGTTTTATTTAGAAAACTAACATATTTTGTTGTTAGTTGATGGTGCATCAAGTCATTATAATCCTAATAAAAATAATAATCAAAATCTGTTAGAGTTAGATGAAGAATCAAGCAGTTAAGAAAAAGAATCAAAAAGTGAAAATTCAGATAATAAAGAATGTTATACAAACTTATCTAGAAGCTTAAACACATGATATGGTCATAACCACCCAAGGTTAAGCACTAGTAATAAAAACAAAGTAGATGCAATTCTTGTGTCATGGCTATGGTCGTAAACAGATTTCTTGTAGTAGTAAGAGTCATTGCGGTTATGCTCATTCTTATAAAATTCTAGAACCTTCTGAAACTCGTTTAACAAATATTAAGCTTAAGTTTTTGTTACTTCACACTACTGCTCATCTTCAACCAATGGATGCAGATATAATTAGTAGTTTTAAAGCAAAATACAAAAGAAAATATATACAATACATACTTGAGCAATTTGAAAGAGGAGAGGATTTAAAAATGTAAGAATCTATTAATGGGCTTAGTGTTACTGCCCTAAAAGTTTTACTGAGAAAATTTTGTTGTTGATTAAGATCAGATTCACCATTAGATTAGGTTAGAAACTTTATTAATAACAAAAATTTGTGAAAAAAAATTTTAATTAGTGCACAGAAAGTAATTTATAGGTAAAACTTTAAGTTACAAATGATTTTTAGATTTTTTAAATTTATTTTTGAATTTTGCGTTGCAAATAATCTTGAAATTTAATTGGTTTGTAAAATTTCTAGATAGTAATGCTAGAGTGATTAACTAGGCTTGTTTTGGCCTCAATACTACATACTGTATAGCACTGCAATGAATATCCAAACAATATCAATATGCAGTACTAAACGGTAATCCTTTTTTTTTGTTTATTACTGTATGTTTGTATTACCCTTTTTTTGTAAATAGTTTAAAGGATTTTTTAATTTAAACTTTTTTGATCATGCAGAAAAAATTTAAATATAAGAGAGGCGATAATCTATATTTTAGAGTCATGGGATGAGGTTGAACAATCAACAATCATGAATTGCTAAATAAAAATGGAATTTTTCAGTATTACCTGATGCTGAAATCAAAGATGCTACTTTCGCTTTGCAAGACTTAGAAGAACTTGAAAATAATGAAACTAATGAATTAATCATAAACCTAATGACAAATTTATTAGACTCGGCAATTGAACGTGAGATAACTAATTTTAACAATTTAAATAATTCTCAAATACCTACAAAGGATGTTCTTAATGAAACACAAATTGTGAATATTATATTAGATAAGCAATGAGAATATGAAGAGGGTGATAAAAGTGATACTGATGAGAAGCTGCCTGAAGTTCCTATTATAGAGGAATTAAATAGTTTAAAAAAATTTGTTAGCTTTTTTGAACAACAAAAAAGCAGTAATTTTAATATGGAGAATTTAGTTTTCAGAAAATATATATCATTAATAGGAAGAAAATATGTAGAATCAATGAAGCAAAAATCAATTTCTGACTTTTTCTTACCTATTAATAATTAGTAGCAGAATAGATCTTTTTTTGGTACAAAAAAATTTTTGAGTTTTTTTGTTTTTTTTTTTGTTTTTTCTTTCTTTTTTTCTTTGCATATTTTTTTTTTTTAAAAATTTTTTTTTTTCAAATGTATTTTGCTAATGTTTTTTTTTTTTGCAAATATTTTTCTTTTTACAAAATTTTTTTTTTTTTGCAAATATTCTTTTTTTTTGCAAATTTTTTTTCTTCTAACTAGCAAATAAAATCTTTAGATTGTCTAGCTTATACTTATATTTTGTGCTATTAATCTTATGACAATTCTAGTATCAAATTGTTTTTTATCAGAAGACTGGATAATTTGAATTTATTGCAATTTGAACTATCTTCAGACAAATTATATAAACAGTAAATTATCAAATCTTTGGTTTTTACTAGCACTGCTTTATAATACCAAGATTTTATTTAAAACTTTTTATTTAACTCTTTTTTTAATATCTAGTATAGATGTGGTATCTTTAGATGTAAACTTAATTTTACAAATTCAAATAAACTATATTAGTAATTCTAAAATATCATATTGTTGTGTGCTGTCAGATTATTGTAAGAGATATAAAAATATTAATCTTCAATGCAATGTAAGAAGTTTGTTGAAATAACTATGATAATAAGGGTGGTTCTTCTGTATTAGTTGCTAAACCATATAAATATATATCAGGTAGACTGTTATAAGAATAGTTATAAAACTTTTAATAGACTGCAATATATTTATGAAAAGAAAAGTAGCAAATGTTATAGGGCTTAAGTGGTAATTTTGAGTACTTAACTGTTTGGTTTAAGGATTATTTAACATAAAACTGGGTATTATATAGGGATACTTGTATCTCAATTATAAGGAATGAAGCTATGCTAAATGGTAAGTTTTGAAATTTAATGCAATGATTAATCATCTTTGGGCTAGTTATTAAACTTTTTTTATCTTAGATATTATTTTATATTTATTAAATCACTATTGGCATAAAATTATTGTACCAATATTATAAAATAAATTGATTGTATAATATTTTTTTTAGTAACTGATTAGTTTTTTTTATTAAATATATTAAATATAATTTTTTTATATATTTTATAATATTTGAATAGTGTAATAAATAGTACAATAATTTATTTTGAAAATTCTTTAAAATCACATTATATTATTTATATTATATTGTGGAATTATATGGAGTAATTCTATTTAATCACTCCTTTATATAATTACAGAAATTTGCTAGATAAACTGAATGATTATATAGAGAGATGCCTGTATATGCTTTAATTTAATAAAGATATTGACAAGAATGCTAATAAAAATTTTAAACTATTAAAGTGTGGCGACTTAGAGTAGTGGTTAAGTTGTCACCTCCTAAGTGGCAGGTCTAGAGTTCGAATCCCACCAGAGACGTTTTTAGAAAAATAGGTCTATGTATCAGTAACAATTATTCAACGATCAGTTGGGTATATCACCTGTAATCTTGGTACTAACATCTTGAAATGGAAGCTCTTGGGCGATCCAAATCCAAAGAACTGGAATAATTAAAACCTGTTTGGCAAGATCTAAGTAAGGAAGTAATGATGATCTTTGACGATACAGCAGAAAGTTAGAAACCAGAGACTGAAGAACTGGATGAAAACCCTGGAGCAAGAAGGATCTACTTAGTGATTGAACCTGGGT